CAGCGGGTGGAATACGCAGACCAGCTCTGCCAGCCGCAGGTCGACGTAAGTTTCGACGAGCTTATATGCTACCTCCTCGATCTCGGCGCCGTCCCGGATCCTCATGGCTGGAGGTTACTGCGAAGCACCGGGCTATGGACTCCGGTGGGTTGCACCCTCATGAAGAGTCCCGACGACCAAGAGAAAGCCCTCGCGATTGCGTCCTTGAATGATTCGGATGGCCATCTGTCTCTGTCACTGAGCTGGTCTTCCCACTGGACGACCAGGAGTTACGAGTCCCTCCCTCCGTACTGGGTTCGCCTGCCACCCGCTCCAGTAATTGACTCAAACGAGATCTCGGAAGACACAATCACAGAAGAGAGGGATACCGAAACAAAGGACGACGCCGGAGGTACCAAAAAGGCACCGTCTTACACCTCCTCGCTTGACTCCATCTCCCGCGCCGTCGCAACCAACGCGCACAAACCCATAGCCTGCAAAATCTCCAGCCACGGCCTCATCAGCGCCATCCCTGAGGACGACGACCACCCGACCACCAGCCTCTACATCGAGCACGTCCGCGTGCGCCCCGCTTCCTCCACGGGTATCTGGTTCGCCAGCGCCGCCACGGCCTACGGCACCTCGAGCTCGACGATCCTGTGGAACTACCGCATTCCAGAGGACATTCTCGCCCTTGCCCGCGGCTCTTCCGTGCCATGCGGCGTGTTGGAGCTATTAGGCATCGTCGACGACTCCCAGACGCCAGAATGGGCCTCGAAGCATGACGACTCGAGGCATCACCTCGACCTGATGAGCCGCCGCATGCGCGAGCAGCGCAACGCCATGGCAGCGGAGTCGCGCATGAGCCAGGCTGACCGAGAGCACGCCGCGCGGGACCGCATGCGCATGGAGAACGAGCAGCGACTGGACGATCGTAAGTAGCCCTCGCCAACCCCGTGAGCACCGCTAACAGCCTCCACAGTCCGCGATCGCATGCGTCTCGACACGCAACGCCGGGAAACCCGCGCCCACGAGGCGATCCAGTCCCCGAAATGGGACGCCGCGCTCGTTGCATCACACAACCTCCGCTGGCTCCAGCAGCATGGTCTGGTCTCCTCGGACCCGATCAGCGGTTCTTTGCGAGCCGTTGCCGCAGGGCTCCTGCATCGGATGATCCTGGATGGCGAGTTTGCCGGCGAGATGAGCAGGATGCTCGACCAATGGAAGGCGTGGGCCGAGAACGGCGGCTTGCGCAAGTCGGATCTCGAGACGCTCCGGGAGAGCCTGAAGAGCTTTGCGCTGGCGAGCTTGCTGGTTGCGGTGATTAAGGACGTCGGGGCCGCCGCGGAGGGGTCGTTGAGCATGGACTTACAGGAATGTTTAAGAATGTGGCGGCAGGTAAGGCTGGGATGATGCACTTTGGAGAAGATATGCAGAAAGATAGTTAAAAAGTGAAGCAAGTCCATGAATCCTATCCCGCGAAGGTACCTTTACCGTTGTGTCCATTCCCTTTCCGACCCTCCACTGCCATATAAGCCAACAATACATCTCCATCGCTGAGCAAACCGCCCTACCCGCAAGTTACAAATGATCAATCTCTCAAAGTCCGTCATCCTGCTCCGAATCGTATACAATTTCTTCCCTCTCCTCTTCCATCAGCAAGCTGTCCGGCAGCATCTGGCTCTTGGTCAGAAGCTGAGACGAGTCCAGCTGGATGGTCCCCAGCGGCAGACGGATGGGGCTGTCGTCCTCGTCATCGATGAATATCGGCATGCTGGAACCCGCTTGAGCCGGGCGCGGTACCGATCTGAGAGGTGACTGTGAAGGACTGGACGCCTGGCTTACGGTGGTCGCCTGGGAGGGCCGGATAGCGCGTCGAGGCGTGGGATTTGGTGGCCGACTGATGGGCGTCGGAGGGAGTGCAGGCTTGGGAAAGAGCTCGGTGCCAAACGCCCTCCGGCTACGGGTCGGCGTCTGGCTCGCCGGTACCAGGATATCTGCCTCGGACGAATGTACGTTCGAGTGCTCGATGTCGCTTCGAATTTGCTCCGCCAGCTCCTCAGACACTGTGAGATCGGCTGACGTCCGAGATGTCTCTCTTCTGCCAATCTCTGGCTGGGAAACAATCTCTTCATCTTCTTGCGTCTCTTCATCGTCGCCGCCAAACAGCGAGCACCGCAGGTTGGCCATCAGATGACCAACGACTGCTGGCGGGACAAAGTTGTACTTTTGCGGCGGCCCGTTGAGCCATCCTTGCTCTCGCATCTCGTGCAGCGAGACTGGATCGTTCAGTTCGTACACTTCATGCAACTGGTACGCGAACTTGGCGCCGGGCAACTTGCGCTGGTTGAACTCTGCGTTGCCGATGCCGTCACCGTCAATCTCGCCAGGCGCCTTTGCCTCACTAATGCAAGCCATGTACCTCAATTCGGCAACCGGCTTGGTGATGTACAACCACATGCGCGAGACGGTGCCTGATATCTTGTAGGCGCGGAATTCGTGGTTTTTGGTGCCCGCTACAATGTTGTCCATGTGTTCTGGGTGTATTGAGATGAAGATGTCAGATCTGTCCGTCTGGGGTGCCATGGAGCGGATTGTGTCCAGAGAGATTCGCTGACTCTCGAGGCCTTGTGTATGCGGGGTCTTTGGTGTCTCCTCAGGAGCCTTGCCCGTCTTCTTGGCCTTGGGCGTCTTTTGGCTTCTGGTTGGGGTCTCACAGATGGACTCTTCGACCGTCTCGTCAGATGCTTTGGGGACACTGGAGCCACTGCTCCGGGTGGGCTCCGGTGAAGAAGTAATGACTTCCACTGTATCCCTGCGATCCGACTCCGCCGAGTTCGTATGGTGCAGCTTTGGTAGAACGAATGGCTTAGATAGGATCACCGTAGCTTCCTCCTCTTTCTCGCTGGCAGCAGGGGTGACGTTTTCCTTATCCGAGTCACCTTCTTCTGCAGGGGAGAGTTCCCTGGTGGCTTCCTTTTCTGACGAGGTGAGAAGCTCATCCATTTGGAACTGGGTTTCTTCGCCGACCGCATCGTACCCCTCGGCCTCCTCGTCCAAGATGTCCAGCGCATCCGACTCATCCTCGGAATCCGCAATCTCACGCAGAGGTGATCTAGGCGGCCTTCGAGGGGATGGACTGACCTCACGCGCGTTCTCTTCATTCTCCTCATCTTCCGTCTCTTCCTCTTCCACAGGTACCAGACTGGCCGTGGGATGTGGCGTGATGAAGCGGACGTTCTTGGCAGGTTGTAGTGGCCGGCGGGGAGACGACCGCTGACTTGGGCTCTGGCTGCCGACTGTCGCGTATGAGTCTTGAATCTCGAGAGTCCGCGGGCGTTTCACAGATCCTGTGAGTTTGATGGGCGTATTGGTATTTGTAGACTTGTCCTTCAAGGGAGACCTCTTCGGGGCCGGGCTGTACCTAGCCAGCATCGGTGTAAGCGGGCTGCCTTGCGATGAAGGAATCTCGAGAACAGTCCGCTTGTTGGTTGGGGTCTGCGGCACGACGGATGGCTGCCTGCTCGTAGGTTTTTTTACAGGGAGAACGTTCTCCTTATCGTTCGCTGAAGGGAGGACCGGCTTGTCAACCTCGTCGTCGGACGGCTGGAACTGCCAAATGTCTTCCTCCTCTTCGGGCGATTTCTCCGACGACCTCCGCGACATTTGCGTCAATGTCTGCGTGTGGAAAGACGAACTCGGGGTTGGCTCATCCCCCATCGTCTTTCTCCTCTTCTTCTTGGGCGCGGGCTCTTCCTCGTCATCTGACAGGTCGAGATGCACAGGCGAGGAGCGCGTAGACTCGTACATCTGGGTCAACGTCTTTTGCTTGTGGCTGGTGACTCGCGCGGTTGGCTTGCGGGCGCTGTAGGTGCGGACTTCGGTCTTTCGATGGGGGAGCTTGGCCTGCTTGAGTGGTTTGCTGGACTTGTAGACTCGGTCGGGAGGGGCAGCAGGAGCCCGGCCGCCGGAGCGAGTTTGCGCTGGCATGTTGGACGTGGTCGTCACGAAACGGCGAATCTACGCCGGATAGTCAATCGTTCGTGTATATTCGACAAGTTCTTGGGTGCGCAGGAGATGTCAGCCCGCGATGTGCATGCCGACTAGTCCCTGTGCGGCGTTGAGGTCGCGTCGCGTGTGGGTGGAATCGCTTTACGCGTGGTGGCGTGTGGGAGTGACATCACATGCAAATAGCGGGGCACTGAGCCGGGGTCCTCCAGTAGGTGCATCACGACGGCGACATCACACTTTTGATTTGATACATCATGAGACGAATTGACTTTATTTCATTCGATATTCGGCATGATGAACTAAGGTTCATTGATTGGAGGGGTATTAATTATTTGGAATTTATAGTCTATGTGCCGCATCTACTAACGGGCGCAGCTCATCCCCTCCTCCAGCGATGTCGATCTAGTAGCCAGCAGTCGCATCTCCCAGAGAGAACGACTTGAATCAGACATGCCAAAGAGTGTTGATTTTCAGACCATTTAGGTCCGATTGATACTTGATCATCATTTCATCATTTCATCATATCATTATCTCATAATCCCATTAGTTCCTAGGCCGAGCCTTTCTAAGACCACCCTCATGTTTGCGCAGCTCCAGACTGGCACATGAAGGCAGCCTTCTATCCTTTCATTGAATGAGCGTGTCTCCTAGACCAGAGTCATGGATTTGTGGTTTTGTGGTGAGCTCTGTATTGTGTTGATGAGTCGTGAGACCGGTCCTTGGGAAACCTTTCGTGGACTCGTGCATCGTCATTCGTAAGTTGTAAGTCATAAATCGTGAGTCGTAAGTCATAAGTCGTAAATTAGAGATCGTAAATCATTCGTCGTACATCATAGAACGCAAGCCGTGAATCGTCAAGTCGTGTACCGTCAAGGTAGTGTTGTTTAAGTTGTAGTTTTTTAAGAAATGAGCCTGCTTCATGGCCATGGAATGTGTACCCTTGTGGCTGTACGTTCTTGTCAGAGGAGGTTCATGGAGAATCCTCAGGTCGACTGAGTCTCGGATGCCCGTCATATTGTAGGGGCCGGCCGGAGTTGTGCACCTTCGCAGTGTTAGTGAATGGAAGACATCTTATCACTCCCCAATGTCTGCTTACCGCTGATACGGCGCAGAAGACGTCTAAACTTGGATTCCGTCTTCGTCGAGGGGTCAGAAGCGACTGGTGCTACCGCAGCCTTGGCCATCGCTCTGTAGTGAGCCTCGACATAGTCGTTAACAAAGTCTTCGAGGTCGACATCGTTGATAGAAAGGTCGCAAATGTGTTGTATGTAGTAGCGATCCTTGGCCTCGCGTCTAAGCTCTATGAGCTGGGCGCTAGAGAGAAGTTCAGAACGGGGAACAGAAAATTCAGACATCTTGTTGATGTTAACGAAGCTTGGCAAGGTAGTCATGTGAAGTGAAGAAGCGGAAGTCAGAAAAGGTTGAAATCAAGAAATTCGTGTACGGATGATGAAGAGAATGAAGAGCTGGGACGGAGGATTTGGGACAAATCGCAGTGTTATATACCATCCAAAGCTGGCCGGACATGGACTCACTTTACACTGACTTTCTCACTGACAGCGGCACACTGACAGTTGCTGAAAGTGTATGCATACCCGATACAACTTGAGGACCGAGATGGTGTGGTTAGACCTCACGGTATGTATGGGGAAGTCCTCGGTGTTCCTCAGCGTCAAAGCAACATCCAACCCGTCAAAGTGTCCGCAAGAGAGGCATCAGCCAAAAAGGTGGAATGGAGCGCAGCAAGGTCAAAAAAAGGAGGGAAAAAAAAGGAGAATAACGAACAAAACAGAAACAACTTTACTCTCTTGCCTAGCCAGTAGCAAAAGACAATTGAGATAAAAGTTCAACAGCTTAGGTTAAACGTTCTACCTTACTGGGCCTGATTCCCGAGTGCACTGACGCTCCGAAACCACGGTGATGAGACCAATTGACCAGACGAAGCTTCAACCGATGACCTTGAGAAGCAGGATTGCCTTTTCCCGTATGCGACCAACCGGCTGATCGAACGACTTTGTAAACTCTTTGCATGTCATAAAATGAAAGGTTAGCCACGAGATTTCACACGCACACATCAATAGTGCAACGCGAAATGGTTGTACAAAAGGACTCTAGCGCGGTTAGTTATATACACATCAGGACCTTCTGATTTATTTCTTGGGCTCCTCCTTCTTCTCCTCCGGCTTCGGTGTGGGCAGCTTGAAGCTATCCGGGCGTCTGTCCGTGCCGGCTCCGACCTGCTCCCACGCGCTAGTGCCGCCCTCAAAGTTGCGGAACGCCTGAGTGAGCTCGAGAGGCTCAGTGACAATGCGCTTCTTCTCCTCGTCGTATCTGATCTCGGTGTAACCGGTGAGGGGGAAGTCCTTTCGCAGGGGGTGGCCCTCGAAACCGTAGTCGGTCATGATTCTGCGGAGATCGGGGTGGTCGGTGAAGTAGACACCAAACAGGTCGTAAACCTCACGCTCGTACCAGTTGGCACCGTCGAAGAGAGGGGTGACGCTGGGAACGGGGGAGGCCTCGTCGGCGTAGGTCTTGACACGGATACGGGCGTTGTGGCGGACACTGAGGAGGTTGTAGACGACCTCGAATCGCTGGTCTCGGGTCGGGTAGTCGGCAGCGGTGATGTCGCTGATCTGGGTGAACTCGGCCGAGGTGTTGTCTGTGTCGTGTTAGTAGGAGTCCGCAACGCCACCTCCAATTGGTACTTACACTTCAGGAACGAGAAGAGGGGGATAATTCCCGAGGGAGAGACGTAGATGGTGAGCTCGTCCTTCCAGACGGAGATCTGCTGGACGTACTTGGGCAGGCAGCCCATGATCCAGGATCCGTACTTGTGCATGTTCTCAGCCTTGGAGCCGTACTTGTCGGCAGGGTTGACGAGGGGGGCCTTGAGGGTGCCAATGTGCTCGCGAGGAGACTTCCTGACGTCCGCGACGTCGGGCTGGCCGGTCGGGAAGCCGGCCAATTGAGGGATCGAGGTCGAGAAGCATCGAATCTCGGTAGGGCGGCAGTTGCGCAAGCCCGCCAGAGCCCTGCTACGGTATAGCCTCGTCGCCATTGTCGCGGTTCTTGCAATGCTGGGGGGGCTCGATGCCTCTGTGGGAGTTGATTGATGATGCTGTGCTTCTGCGATGCTTGGGGATTGAAAGAAGCTAGCCGGATTAGGCACACCCGGGGTGGGGTTAGCCCGCTGTTTGCTTCACCAGACTCTCACTGTACCTGACATGCCTCGAAGGACTTTTTTTTTAACAACAACAAACGCAGACCCTCGAAAAGACTTTACCTTTTCACAAATTCAAAAACCAGCAACCACCTTGTGGATTTATTCTTTCACGAATTTTCCCACAACACCATCCTACCCTTTCCACACCTTCATCCTCCATTCTACCATCACTTACTGCCGCTATCCACGGACAGGGTGTGCCTAGCAGCTGCTGACTCGCCTCATTCAGAGTGTTGTCATTGGCTCCAGGCGCCTTCAGAATCACGTGAGACTGCCTCACGTCAACCGGCTTACCTAAGGTGCTAGCGCAGCAGGCGACCCATCTGAGAAAGGCTTTGGCTTCATCCGTATTGAACAACTTCCCTCTCCTGACTACCTCCACTCACAAATCGACGACTACCCTCCCGCAACACATCACTACCCCCCGCAGACTGTCACCATGGCGCCCCAAGACACATTCTTCGACGAGGAGGAAGATACCTGGTATGTCGACCCCTGCCGTCATTGCGCGCCGTTCGCGATGGCCGCACGCCTGCAGTTGGGCACCACGAACTAACTTGCCTCCCAGCCCGCTATGCATCGAGGAGTTCGACCTGTCAGATCGGAATTTCCGACCATGCCCATGCGGTTACCAGGTATGCCGTCCGATTCCCCGATGCTATATTTTTTTTTCCATCGTCAAAGGACGATCTCTGACAGTTTCATAGGTGTGCCAGTTTTGCTTCAACAACATCAAGAACAACATGAATGGCCTGTGTCCCGCTTGCCGCAGACCTTACGATGAGAAGACGATAGAGTGGAAGGTCGTCACCCAAGAAGAGTGCGTTCCTCCCCCACCCTGCCTAGCGACGCCACGCTGACAAGCATTTTTTAGGGTCGCCCAGTTCAGAGCCAACATCCAAAAGAATCAGAAGAAGCGAGCTCAAGAACAAAGACAGAAGGAGGTCCAAAAACGCGAGGCCGAAAAGGAGAACCGCAAGAACCTCGTCGGCGTGCGGGTCGTTCAGAAGAACCTGGTTTACGTGACCGGTCTGACACCTACAGTGCGAGAGGACGAGCTGCTCAAGACGCTGCGCAAGCCCGAATTCTTTGGCCAGTACGGCAACATTCAGAAGATTTCGATCAGCAACCGAAAGAGCCAGGACGGCCAAAACCAATCACTCGGCATTTACGTGACGTTCGAGAAGAAGGAGGACGCACAGCGGTGCATCCAGGCCGTCAACGGATCCCAGAACGGCGACCGTGTGCTTAGAGCTCAGCTCGGTACGACCAAGTACTGCTCCGCCTGGCTGCGACACGAGCAGTGCACAAACAGACAATGCATGTTCCTGCACGAGCTCGGCGACGAGGAGGACAGCTACACTCGACAGGACCTGTCATCGATGAACAGCATCAGCTCGCAAACGCAGCGGCCCCTGGCCAGTGGATCATCAAACAGCGGTGGAAACAGCGGTGGCGGTCCCTCGCGGTCTGCTTCTCGACAGCAGAACACCCCCGCTCCCACCATGTCGCAACCCATGGCCCGCTCGTCGAGTAAAGAGGGATCCGAAAACGGCGGTGATGGCTCGGCGCTTCCCTCGTCGGCCAACTGGGCCAGGAATCCTCAGCGCAGTCGCAGAGGAAGCCACGCCACGAGCGGTGCCGCCTCCAGCCCCGCCATCTCGACATCGCTCCCCGTAACCGCCGAGGCAGTACCCGAGGCCATTGATGAGACGCCGTCAAGAAAGGAGACTCCCGCACCCCCGACTGAGAGCAAGGTACCAATGGTGGCGCCCAAGGCTGAGATTAAGAAGCCTAACAGCCTTCCCGAGACGGTGCTCAAGACGCTTCTCATGGCCATGCAAGGATGCCCGTTTACCTATCACGCCCCCGACACGAATTCACTCGAGACGATTTACCCGCCCATGTTCGATCTGCGTGGTGGCGAGAAGCGCCGAGCGATGCGCGAGGAGGAGGAGTCGCGCCTCGGTGTTGAAGAACAGCAGAGCGAGGCACAGGAGCCTTCTGAGGGCGAGCCAGAGACCGGCGGTAGCCTCGCCCTCGGCGGCGAGCCTGAAGACCGTGACGTCAGCAGAGAGGCGGCATTTGAGCAGCGCAGGCCCGGTACGCAGCCTCCCATTCAGCGCACCAACACCGACGGCCTGTTTGGTCCCGCGCTCGGCTCGGCTTTCGGCCAGGCCTCTGTCACTTCTGGTTCTGTTGCCGGCAGCCGATCCATGACCCCCCAGCAGCAGCTCTTCATCCGCTCGCAGAACGGCTTTGGCGATCACCTGCCGCCTGGCATCGCTACCGTCCAGCCTTCGGTGCAGCAACAGCAGCAGCAGCAGCAGCAAGGAGGCAACGGCCACAACAGACAGGGATCGAGGTTCAGCTTTGCTAACGACAGCGCGGGCACCTCCGCCTCGGTCAAGGTGGCCGCCAACCCTCGCATCATGGCGCAGCAGACGGCCATGATGCCTTCGACATTCCAGACACAGCCCGGCAGCCAGTACTATGCGTCGTCCATGCCCGGCCCTCCTCCGGGCCTCAAGTCGACGGGCACCCCGCCAAGCATGTTTGGACAGGGCCACTCGTTCGGTGGCAGCTTCAATCAGTCCAAGGATTCTGCCGAGCTTCTTCAGACGTTGATCCGGGGCCGAGGAGCCAATGGTCAGGGCCATGATGCTGGTAAGCGTGAGTACATGTTATCTTCTTTTTCTAATCAGTACCCGTCCTCTACCTCCTCCACCCCAGCTCCTGCTTCGGGCCTCCTGGCGTCGCTCTACGGTAACCAGCCTGGAGCATTCCAAGACTTCGGTCCCAAGCAGAAGAAGAAGGGGAAGAAGCACAGACATGCTAACACTTCCTCCTCTGGGGGAGGTGGCTTAGTTGATCTTGCGGACCCGAGTATCCTGCAAGCGAGAATGCAACACCAGTCGCAGAGCAACGCCGGAGTCGGACAGGGACTGTTCGGTGGTCAGAGCCAAGGTGGGTACAACCCGAACATGATGTACAATACGCGCTTCCCTGGCGCCGGCTGGTGAAGCCGGGAGGGAGCGCGATAGATCTGGGGCGGTGTTGGTCGTTCAAGGGATTTTTGTTTTACACATTCATGTATCATGAGAGGGAGGGCGTCGCGGCACATCAGCGGACGACCGTCCTCGAGGGACCGGGAACAACCGCACATTACACGCATTGATTCAGCGAGCATTGCGGAAAAAAAATCAGGGCCGCTCAGGGGAGTGGCAAGGGTTGCATTTGGCGTCGTCTCGCGTTTAGGGGCTGGACCGACACCTACAATCGCCCCGACATTATACCTCTTTTCTTTTGGACTCGCATGTCATGGTTTATGGGGTCACGACAGTCAGGCAAGCCATCATCGTCTTCCAATCGCCTAATGTACGTTAACTTGCAGCCCATTCTCCGGCGACGAGGATGGGAGGTGGCTAAAGGACAAATACTATATCTTGCGCACATATTTCGCTCTCCACCCGCAGATCGCTAAGAAGACGATGATGGCAGCCGTGACTTGACCTCCCGCATGTACATATGTGTTTCCCGTTTTTGCGGCTTTTTTGCTTTTGCGACCTTCATGGCTCTAGGGAACCTTGGCTAACTGGTTCCCTAGATGACGAGCTGCTTTCACTCGACGAAGCCACCTTTTCGGTCGACGCGCTGGTGTCAGATGACCCCATGCCACCTTACGGGGGGCTTTCAAGGCCCACGGTGCCGACGCCTCCAGGTCTCGGGACTCCCGCAAGGTTGGCATCGCCGGCGCCACGGCAGGCACCGATTCCTGCCGTTCCTCTTACGCCAGGCGCTCCCAAGGCCACGCCCACGATGGCCAACGTCGTTCGGGCATCCACACCCGACGTCACGCCTCGCAAGAATGCCCCTGGATCAGAGGCCAAGAAGAACATCAAGGCCCTGGCCGTCGAGAGTGGGCTTTCAAAGGACATTGCCTCTCAGGGTTCCCCGTCCAAGGGCAAGACTCTTCTCCAGGAGGAAGACTTTCCCGCTCTGGATGCCATCAAGGCGAGCGCTGCTAAGGCCAACGCTCAAAGACCCGGCACGCCGGCCAAGTCTGTCGTCTCGACTCCCAAGATCGCCCCAGCGAGCATCAAGAAGACCCAGGCAGAGCCTCCTGCTCCTGTTGCAGAGCCTCCCACTCCGACGCCCAAGGCGGCAGAGAAGAAGCCAGTGCCTGGCATCTTGAACATTGCCGCCGCCACAAAGGTTGCCCAGACCAAGCCCGCAGAGTCTGCAAAGTCTGCATCGACGGAGCAAGACTCGGCTGCATTCCCAGCCCTGCCAACTCCCACGACAGCCGTCGCTTCGCCCATCACGAGAACCGCCCCCAAGACGTTGCGAGTCGTTCCTACACCCAAGACTGAAGTCCCCCCCCCCCTGGTTTCCGGTGCCATCTCCGCCGCCGCCAGAGCCGTTTCCACCGCCTCTGGTCGGCCCGGAACCCCTGCGAGCGAGGCCATCAGTGACAGCGCGTCCATCGTGTCCACGTCCGTCTCTGTGTCTCGAACCAGCTCGCCCCCTCCGTCCAGAGTCGGTGCTGCTCCTGTGCGTACAGCTACAAAAAGCCAACAGCGCAAACAACGCAAGGAGGCTCACAAGGAGCAGTCCGCGGCCGTCGCCGAGGCGGCCAAGCAGGCGGAGCCCGAGGAGATTGCCCCCATTCTCGGCCGCAAGAAGAAGCAGAAGAAGGAGAAGCCGGTCGACACGACGGCTGCCGCTAAGAAGGCCGCGGAGCGTGCTGCCAACCCCCCGGCGCCCCCCAAGAAGGAGGAGCCTCCCGTCCCCAAGCCTCCCATCGAGCGGACGGTCGTCGACCTGCCTCCCCCCAAGGGCAAGGCCGCCAAAGCCGCCCTCAAGATTGCCAAGGCTGCAGAGGAGAAGGGCAAGGCCAAGGAAGCTGCTGCTGTTGCCGTCGCTTCGCCAGCTACACCCCCTGCAACTGCCGTGCCTGAGGAGTCCCAGGACATGGCTGAGAACCCCAAGACCATCCCTGAGGTTGTCTATGACGACCTTGTCAGCAGCGGTGAAGCTCCTCCCGAGGAGATTCTCAGTCTGCTGAGACCCTTTGTTGAGCAGAACATCCGTCTCGACCGCGCGCACGCAGCCCAGGGAACCAACCCGCCTCCTTCCACAACAACAAAGGGTATCGTGAACGATGCAGACCATGCCGTGCTCCTGTCTGGGCAGCCGGTGCGCAAGGTGATTGAGGGTCAGCGCGTGCTCATCACTCCCAATGGCGACTGCGTTCGCAACCTCACCGAAGAAGAGGAGGAGAAGTACCTCGAGCTCCAGAAGAGCATTGCTGAGACCAGCGACCAGCCTGACAGCTTCGTCGCGCCCCGCCACCACACTCGCCCTGGCGGCTTCTCCCTCATCAAGGGTCGCGCGGTGCCCAACGGAGCGCCGTCTTACTTCCCGCCTCCTCCCACCTCCCACAAGATGTTCTCTGACGATCCCGTGAACAAGATCCAGCGCGAGGAAGCCATCAGCTACATCAACCAGTACGTCCTGCCTCGCCTCAACCTCGGCAACACCAACCTGTTCCCCGGCAGCTGGAAGTCGGCTCCGGGTGCCAAGGACGCTCTCTCTGCGCGCGAGACCGCCGCCCAGAGCCTGAACTCGCTGGCCCCGTACATTTACGGACACGACGCTGCCGCCGGCGCGGGCATCTACTCTGCTGAGAGTGGCGGTTCCGGCAAGGACATTCCCGAGGACGAGACGCCGTTCGGAGGCCTCGACTCCCCGCACCACGCCGTCGGCCCCATGCCCAACATCTCCGTGTCCGCTGCCTCTGCATCTGCCGCCGCCGCTGCTGCCGCGCAGGCCCACGCTCAGCACAGCTCTCACCCCAAGCTCCCCGGCACCCCCCTCAACAGCATGACTCTCATGAGCGTCGAGGATGCCGAGGCCGCCCTCGCCCTGGCGCGCAAGGAGACCGAGAAGCTGGAGAAGAACCTCAACCAGGCCATCAAGCGCAACCGCAGAATCCTGCTCGGAAGCAGATGACTAGCCGTAGAGCTGGTGGGAGTCGTGGAAAGGATTGTTTTGGCCGTGACGATTCAGACTCTCATGCTTGGAGTCGGAGTCGTTGGAACCGTGGTGGACATGCTGGCAGGTGCCAGACGAGCGATGTGGTGAGTCCACATCCTGCCATCGTAAGGAAGCGATGGAACGAAGCAGATACGGGGATTTGGCCCCAACGTTTGTAACGATTTTGTGTATGACTTTTGCTACCGGCATTGAGCCGTAGCGTTTGTACAAAGATTTGTATTCTATTGGGAGGCTTGGACAGCCCTGGCTTTGGGTTCGTCTTGGCCTTAGATGAGGCAGCGTGGGGCAGTATGGCTCCACCGGATTCATAAACTTAATGATAGTATCGATACCCTTAGGATTGATGGTTACGTGCTCTGCTTCGCCTGGACGTATGAGCTTGAGTGATGACGTGACTTCTTGAACGGTGCTTCACCCAGCCCAACTACGGCACCAGCGGCTTAGTGCTTAATCAGAGTTGATTCAGTATGTACAAAGAGTGGAATGGGTATCACGATTCGAATCTGTCCTCCAGCCATCTTGTGATGACTTCTTGACCACGCTCCCCCAGCTGCAAGTACTCGTTGTCCCCGACGTCCACCAGCTTGACCCGCCGTTCTGCTTCAGTCTCGGCGTCAAAGTCCTCATCCCACTGCAATCGCGACTTGAACTCCAACTTTTCCAAGCTTTTCCTCATCAGCGAGGCCAACTCCGACGCCTGGGCTTCGAACGTGTGCCCCGCGGCCCTGCGCTTCCCCCTCTTCGTTGTCTGCAAAGGCGGGCTATCGTGGAGCAACAACGACGCCGGCAGCTTCAGCGTGGACTTTCTTGGGGGAAACATGAGCGCGCTCCGCCTCGGTGCCGTGAACGCACTGCCTGTCGCGGCCAGAAGATCACTGACACTCCCGCCAGACGTCAAAGACGACATGCGATTCAACATCTCCGTCATCACGGCTGCCTGCGTGAATGTAGACGGCGGAAGCATCCCCGAGGTCTGGAAGAAGAGACTCGGGCTCGCAAAATTGTCAAACAGGTCCGCGGGTTTCCTGAACAGATCGGTCATCTCCATCTGCAGGGCGTGCAACGCCGAGCCCTCCTTCGGCCGCGAGGGGAGCTTGCGGCCGCGCGGGGTTGCGGGCTTGTTGATGCGGTGGTCTGGGAGGAACATGGACCAGTTGTAGATGCCGTTCCAGGCGACCAGACCGCGGACGGCCACGCGTTCGTGGTGGTGAGACTCGGTCAGGGCGAGGGAGGCGGCGAGGCTGGCGCCAGCGTGGGAGCTGTAGACGTAGAGGTCCCGGCGGGAGGTGCTCTCCGGACGGAGGTTTTCGGTGATCCAGGTGTAGCCGGCCAGGATGTCGTGGATGGGCGTCGGCCACTGCAGGGGCGTGGTGAAGCTGGGCTCCCCCGATGCGTCCGGGGGAGTGGAGTCCGGGGCGGACCATCGGTAGTTGATGATGGCCGTCGGGTATGGGCGAAGAAACCCGGGGACGGACGGGTGAGTGCCCGGGAGTGGCGAGTGTGGTGGTATGTATATCATCAGAGGGGCTGAAGAGGACTGCCGCACGATGTTGTGAAGGCTGGGCTTGTCAGACACGATCTTGAGCTTTTTAGCGAGACATACTCTACTGTGATGCTGCCAGATGAGCCGATCGGCACCTCGACAGAGTCGTCAAGGGTTTGCTCGGAGTGGAAGCATCGCCGTTGGACACGTGGGAGACGACACGGCAGCCACAGTCTTGGCCATCTTCTCATTGTCTAAAAATAAGAGCCGGCGTGGGATCAGAGACCCTATTCCTCATTCCATATCGACAGGCTTGAAATCGATTCACCAACAATGGATGCAAGACGTAGACGAGGCGCTCGCCAGCACACCCTGACGCGTTTTTGCGACCCCCTGACAGCGAGCGGCCTGGCCAGCCAGTGGCCATTCCGTCGTGGTGTGCTGCACCGCCGCAGCCCCCCACATCCCTGCCGTCGCTCTCGCCAAGGGTCCCCCGTGGCCCTCATTAGCGCGCTCAAGCAAACCGCTAAGACGCTGTAAAGGGCAGCGCGTGGCATCACCGGCGGCCAAGCAACGTGCGCTATTCACTCGTACAAGACTGGAGCAGTAATCATCAGCTCGTTTCTGCAAGCATGGGTAACCTGATCTTCCATTCCTCACGAGTTGGGCGAGTCTGGGGGGAAAGATACATATAAAGGATGCTCGCCAAGCACAGTCACACACTCGACGACTTGATGTTGATACAGGTCTGCGCTCGCACCCGACTCCACGTTCCCGATCATCGAATCCGTCTAGCCCCGTGTTCGCTAAGAAAGCCCCGGCCGTCTTAACCTAAGAGGCGGGCATCAGAGCTGCACACCCTCACGTCCACCAGCCGACGTCATCGCCGAAGCGCGTTGTACCACCATCTTCCCTCGGGGGGAACCCGGGTACGTCGGGTCTAGAGGTCCGGCCGGGCCAAGACCTTGATTTTGAGGTCGAGTGACGCCTCTCCTTTTTCGAAGCACTCATCCCTTGAATTTGTGTGTCTTTTTATTCTGGGTAGCATTGCCCTGGACGATCTCGCCGTCGTTTCTGCTCAGAAGCGGTTTTTGGACCACATCGGGAATGCCTTCGTTTTGGTGGTTCCGCCGCTTTGAACCCGCTTATTTTGGCCACAAACCTCTCCGCAAGCCGGCACCATGAACGACGCCGATCTGGGGGATAATATCGAGCAGCGCGTGGCCCAGTCGGAGCAGGCCAAGGCCCAACGAGACAAGCGCTTCCAGAATGACGATGCCCACTTGGATCCGAGGTAAGTGTCCATCGTACATGGGCTTGTCATCACAGTATTTGTTCCGTCGCTGACCTGCCTAGCCGATGGTGGTTCGCGTCCTCCGCGTTCCCCATGATTGCCGGCACCCTTGGCCCCGTTGCATCGGCGTTCAGTATATGCGCTCTCGTTCGCCCTTGGCGGCAGCACTTCCCGCCAGGAACCGATATCGATGCCGCTACCTTTGTCCCGGATCCAAAATGGTTGGTGTCGTCCCCTTGCTCCCGGAGTTTTCTAACACGACCAGGCTTATCATCGTCAACGCCATCCAGCTGGCCATCGCCATCATCTCGAATGTATTCCTCCTGCTGAACATGGCCCGCCGGGTCCGCTTCTCCCTGGCCCAGCCCATCACTATCGTGGGCTGGTATCTCTCTGCGATCTGCCTAATCGCTCTCAATGCCACTGCCTCGGGACCACTCGTGATTGAACCGCGAGAGGAGTACATCAACTCCCAGGCCTTCTACTATGGCATGTTCGCAGCCATTCTATACTTCGTCACCGCCTCCCTCATGGTCGTCACCGTGTACGGCGCTTACACCCGCCACTACGCAGAGGACTTTCAACTCACCACGGCGCAGCGCACCCTCATGCTGCAGACGATCCTCTTCCTCCTCTATCTGCTCCTCGGCGCTCTCATATTCTCCACCATCGAAGACTGGTCTTACCTTGATGCTGTCTACTGGGCCGACGTGACGCTCTTCACTGTCGGTTTCGGCGACTTTGCAGCCGCCTCACCCCTGGGCAGGGCTCTGCTCATCCCCTACGCCCTCATCGGAGTCATCAGCCTCGGTCTGGTCATCGGCTCCATCCGCAGCTTGGTTCTCGAACGCGGCCGCCGCAGACTGGATGCGCGCATGGTCGAGAAGAAGCGCCGGCAGCTGATCCGCACAATGACCCGCAAGGGAAAGGACGACATCCTCAAGCCCATCCCGTCCAACGTCGAGTCTCCCATCTCGGATGCCTCGCCCCTGCCGGCCACCGAGTTCGAGCGTCGCCAGGAAGAGTTCAACCTCATGCGCAAGATCCAAGATTCTGCTTCTGTCCGTCGCCGCTGGATGGCCATGTCCATCTCCTTTTCGTCCTGGCTCATCCTCTGGCTCGTCGGCGCCAAGATCTTCCAGGAGTGCGAACGTCCGTACCAGAACTGGTCGTACTTTGAGGGCTTCTACTTTGCCTTTGTCACACTGACCACCATCGGTTACGGAGACCGCACCCCTGTCTCTAATTCGGGCAAGGCATTCTTCGTCTTTTGGTCGCTCCTGGCGCTGCCGACGATGACGGTCATGATTTCGAATGCAGGAGACACCGTCGTCAAGGCCGTCCGCGACGCCACGCTCGAGCTTGGAAACGTTACCATCCTGCCGGGAGAACGCGGCTTCCGCAAGGAGCTCCTCGCTCTGCTGGACCGATGGACCTGCGGCGTGATATTCAAAGGGCCGCTCATGGACGAGGAAGACGAGCTGCCCCCGGGCTTCCTTGGGAATGCCCACCGGCTGGAGCAGGGCAGCTCCGAGGAGGACGACAACGACACGGACGCCTACTCCTCCGTCCCCGATCCCACCTCAGGCCGACAGCAGTCCCGATCTCGCGACCCCACGGCACCGCTGCCATCCTCTCGTGCCGAGTACCATTTCCTACTCATCTCGGAGATAGCCGCCGTCCGCCAGCATTCCAAACAGAAGCCCGCGAAAAAGTACTCGTTCGCCGAGTGGGCGTGGTACCTGAAGCTGATTGGGGAGGACGAAAGCAGCTCGGCCACGCACCGCAAGGCTCGTCCGCATATCCACTCCAAGAAGAAGAAAAGCAGACGGAGGAAGGTGCGCGATGAGGATATGGAGTGCCCTGACGAAGACAAGTGGTCGTGGGTCGGGTCGCAGTCGCCGCTGATGGGGAGCCTGGAGGAGTGCGAGTGGATTATCGAGAAGTTGACGGAGAAGTTGCGAGACGAGCTTGATGTTGTCCGTGGCGAGAGCAGCAGCAGCGACGTGCGAGGCGAGAAGGACGCCGGGGATGAGATTATGTAGTTTTGCGAATGATACCCAACGATGTTTCTGTATTTCTGTCACAACCTGATATCGACCATTCACTGCACCAAGTCAAAGACTGCCCTATTTCGACAAAGGACTAGACAGCTTCACCTGGCCGTCGATCCTATCCTTCTTACAACAAGTCAAACAACGACGCTGCACACTCCCGGCAGGTCGACCTTGGCTGGATCTGTATCCAATGAATTGCAGGCATTGACAGGCCAGCCCTTGGCATAATTACTTTGCAATCCAATCAACCCTGGCTTGGCTCCGCCGACCAATCTGGTCACGGTTCAAATTTCGCCGCCAAGAGGGGGCCACTTGCATTATTTTCACAACAAGCCGCCCGTCGTGCAAGAAATAAAAATCTGAATTCTCGACGCTACTTTCCCGACCTGAATCCGACAGAGAGAAAAACAAACAACTTTGTTCTTCCCGAATTCGTCCCATATTCATCTTCGAAGGTTTCCAGCCGACTCCACCCACGCAGCGGCACTGCAGCCGCCGACCCGCTCCTGCACTCGGCGATGACATCCCTGGCCGCAGGCTGGCACAAACTTGGGCGTCCGTGGTACGCACCCACATTCCTTCTCCTGCGCACCCACTGTGCGGCGCATGTCAAACATAAGCGCTGAATCTAGCCTCCCCGGCATCGCCAATCGGTTGGCAGCTGATGAGTAAGATCTGCTCTTCCGGCCTGATGGTCTAGAGGTATGATTCTCGCTTTGGGTGCGAGAGGTCCCGGGTTCGATCCCCGGTCAGGCCCCATTCTTTTGCTGAATTGATGAATTCTTTTTTTGCAGATGGTGCCAATGATGATTCTCGCGACGTTCTGTGATTGTCGGAATCGTGCAGAATCATTTGTGCTAGCACGAGTGGGTCGATGTTCTGTCCGCACGTGACATGTAGAGCTGCTCTGTTTGGGCGTTTCCGAGACGCTCATGTGAGGATCAACGGGCGAGTCGAGATTGCTCGACGTTGCAGCGGGCATCCGCACCAATTTCGAGCAATCTCAAACCTCTTGATCCGATGTTTGACCACCGCTGCATCTGATTATCAGAACTTCTTTAACCCGAAGCGGTGTAGTCCTCCGGCCCTGAGTCTATGGCTATCTGGTGCCAGCCAACCCTGGCTTGCGGTCTGATGAAATGACGGCATATTGTCAGATTTGTTCTGGAGCTGTGTGGGCGACCTGCAGCTCCAGACGATGGACGAATGCCACTCATCAGGGCCAGGCTCTTGGTGGGTGGTAATAACAACGCTGCATAATCCATCGGCACCATCGCCTTGATCAGGAGCCAGCTGGAGCGAGAGCGAGTGCAGTGAGATGAAGTTGCTGCGGCAGAGAGGTCGACGCCGTTCTTGGCGCGCAGCATGCAGCATGCAGCCACAGCTTCCAGCAAGCAGAAGGGCGTTGGAAAAGCAGGGTTTCAGCATGCCGCTGCCCGCCCATCCTGTTCATCAAACTTTGCCAGACTTGCTGCGATACGAACGGCGCGAATCTCCGATGACGGATGAACTCTGGGAGGCGTGCTCTATCTGCGGGAAATCACGTCTTCTGTTGCTGTTCAGTGTTCACTGCCATCTTCGCTGGATGCCTCCGGCCGCCTTCGCCTCCCACAGTCAAGGTCGTCCTTGGCGTGTGAGGTGCTTCTGGATCCTAATTTAGCAGCCATGGCAAGTGCTAAGCTCTGCCCGGGTACGTACCGCGTGGGGAGGTCGCCAATGTCGCCCACTGGCCGCCGTTGTGGAGGAGTCAGGGCGCACCTGGTGATGCGCTAGGGAGACCAAAGTGTGCTGTAGTCGGTGTCACTGGTAGGGATGGCAGCTGCACGGTTGGCCGCCACAGGCCCCTCTCCATTGATTGTCACTGCCTCAGCAGGGAACGAGGCACGCACCATTGGACCCCAGCTCCTTCCCGCCGTTCTGCTGAGACGAGAGACCCTTTTCTGCCGCTGCTGCTGCTGGGCGCGTGGCTATTTCTACTCGAGGCCCCGGCATCGTCGTTGTCGTCGTCCTTACATCCAACGTCCTTCGTCTGTTCTCGCTGTCATCATCCGAGTATTCAATATCAACCACCTGCCAGTCTATCGCTACCATTATAAGCGTATTCAACCACCGACAGCTCTACTAAGTCATTCAAAACCGCCATCATGGGTGGAGTTCGTGAGTAGCCCCGTCGTTGCGTCCGCGGCCCATGAGCTTGCGAGAGCATCATGCTCAGATACCTCGGAAACGCCTCTCCTGTGGCCGATCTCCATGTCGTTCAAATCACAATGCGAAGACAAATCACTAACACGTCCATGGCAGCTCTCGGCGCCCTTGACAACCTCAAGGACAAGCTCAAGGAGATCTTCAAGAAGAAGAAGACCAACAACACAACCCAGCCGACTAACGGGGCACAACCTGCTGCCACCACTTCGACCGCTACCCAGCCTACCAAGACCGAGGCCGCTCCCGCCGCTGCTCCCGCGAGTACGTGATTGCCTTGCATTCCTATCAGAGGAGACGCGTCTTCAGATCAGTGACTGACGTTTCTCGCAGCCGAGCCCGCAGCTCCTGCTGCCGCTGCCGCTCCCGCTTCTGAGCCCGCCAAGGCCCCCGAGCCCGCAGCCAAGCCGGAGGCAGCTCCGGCGACCACCGAGCCCGCCAAGGCCCCCGAGGCCGGTACGTTCACGTGTTGGCGATCCACCCGGCACAGATACCCGAGACTGACGCGTTTTTAGCTGCTGCACCTGCACCTGCGCCTCCCGCTGAAGCCCCCAAGGCTGCTGAACCCGCTGCACCGGCTGCCACCGAGCCCGCGAAGACGGAGACTCCCGCAGCCCCGGCTGCCGCCCCGGCCGCTGAGACTCCTGCTGCTGCTCCCCCGGCTGCGGAGCCCCCAGTGGAGGCCCCCAAGGCGGCAGAGCCAGCCAAGACGGAGACCGAGACGAAGGAGACTCCCGCTCCGGCTCCCGCCGCTGCTCCCGCCCCGGCTTCTGGAGCTCCCCCCGCCTAGTTGACAGTCGGTATTCCTTATGACCTTGAAGTTGATTTTGATCCTCTCACCTATGATTTCGACCATGATTTGACTCCCAGCGTCACGACGCTGGCCAAGCCCGAGGAACCTTACGCTCTTGGTGAATACTTCACGTCCGGCGGATCTGAGAAAGCTTGGTATGAAGATCACCCTGCCTACCAGAAGGTTGAAGTCCCCAATGTTGGTCCGGCTTGGATCCAGGTGGGCAAACGTCACCGCATTGTATGCAAGTTCTGTATGCAAGTTCTGAAGAGAAAACAGCTGAAGGGAGCGATGAAAGCCCGCGGGCTACTTTGTTTATTTGCTTAATTGCCGGATACCCATTACTTGAGTAGTTAAATCAAAGCGTTTTGCTTCTACGTCTTGAATTGTGATGCTTCAAGTGTTGGTGAGGGCACAGCTGTGCAGGACCGACAAGTATAAGACGACGGATGACGCTGAGTGTTGTACTCTGGTAAGGTATGGTTTATTTGATTCAATTGATCTTGCATTCAGCCGTCTACGGCTCTTTAGGGTATATCCTTTGATTCATTGCTCTGGCGTCTCTCGCCAGGCTGGTCTCATAATCATGATCATCGCTTCCCTACTTGGCCCACGGTGCCTTGGTCAAGGTGACCTGTGCATCCGTCGAGCCGCCCTGGGCCTGCGCACCGGGAGCAGGCATCGGGAGCATGCCCGGAGCTGGCGGCGCACCCGATGTAGCCGCCGGCGGTTGTCTCGTGTACGGCATACCACCAGGCGGGGGTATTCTGGCACCAGATGGCGGTGCGGGTACTCTCGGCGGCATCACCTGCCCGCGGCCTGCCGCCCACGGTGCCGCTGTGCCTGCTCCCTGCGGTGGTGGCAGGGCTGTCGTTGCAGGGTAGTTGTACGACGGCTGGTTCGCGGCGTGGACGGACGGGGCGACGGGAGCGGCGTCGGGGTCCTGGTCCCAGGAGAAGAGGGAGCCGAAGGTGAAGTGCTGGACGACGGGGAACTTTTGCAGGACCTCCGCGTTGAACATCTTGAGCATGCCCTGCGCCGTGTCAGTAACCACTCGTTAGCACCGGAGACGAAGACCTTACCTTGTTGATCTTGCCCCAGCCGGCTTGGACGCCAGATACGTCGAACAAGATGGGGCTGTGTTCCCAGAATGGGCCCTTCTTGACGTCGTTGATGAACCCCACGGCGGAGAAGTACATGTTCTCTGTCCTCTGCTCCTCAACGACGGCCGCCTTCACAATGTCTCCCGTCTTGGGCGCCCCGCGGACGGACCCCTCCATCGGCATCGGCTCCGCGGAGCCTTGGGTGATCGTGGTTGTGAGCTGTGCTGAGCCAAAGATGTAGGGGAGGAAAGAGTGGTCGTCCAGCCCCCAGACGCCATGCGAGCCCGCGGGCTCGAGGGTGTATGTGAGGATGAGCTTGCGCACGACGCGGAGGTAGGGCTCGATTACGCCGAGGACGATGGCGCGGTCCGTCGCGGCGGGGTCGGCTTCGGAGCCATCTCCGAAGAAGCCCAGCTTGTAGAGGGAGCCCAGGAAGGCGAGGAAGGCGAGCTCGTGGCCCGTGCCGTAGTCGAGCCTCTGCGACGACCCAAAGGAGCCGAGGAGGTAGGAGAGAAGCTCGGATGAGGGCGGTTCGGAGGAGGGCGTCGTCGGGAAGGAGAGGACGGCGGACGGGATGTGCTCGGAGAGGAGGGCCGGTGCGCGCTCGGAGAGGAGCTCGTGCCACTTGCGGAAGGAGACGTTGCCGAAGCGGCGGGGTCCGGGATCCGGGGGCGCGAGCTCGATCAGGGACTCGGCGGCGGAGAGGAGGTTCTGGAGGGCCTTGATCGGGGCCGGGAGGCGGTCGCTCGTGGGCGGCGGGACGGAGGTGAGGGGGTAGGTTGTCGCGGGGCCGCCCGAGGGGGAGCGGCGCGGGCAGAGAGATCGGTTTAGTTGGAGGAGGAAGAGGAGGATGTCGCGATATGCGGTTGTGGTGAGGAATGTCGCGAGGTCGGTGCCGGTGTTGATGCGCTTGGTGGGGGTTTGGAAGGTGTGAGGGGTCGTCTTTGGCAGAGGTTTGATGGTAGGCAAGGAGGAGGGTTGCGCTGGCGGCGCTGATACTGATGCTGGAAGCTCCATGATGGCTGTCTCGTTTCCAGCTTGGGCGAAGCTGGTTTGAGAACGTGGTATGAGATTTGTGACGATTGAATCTTGAAAGCTTCTGGAGCTTCAATGGAGGGGTGTGACGAAAGTGTCTGCTTAGTCATCGGTGATGAAGACGAGAACAAGCCACACCTCCAAAGCAACTTCAAGAACACCACGACCACCTGTTCTCAGCACGTTCGACACACCAACAGCGCATTGTTTCTTTGGCGAGACTACACAGGCAACGGGCTGGCCTCTGCACCGGAAATGTTTCGAGTGATTCACGTCCCGGATTCTCTCGAGTCACGTCGGAAACCTGCTTCGCAACTTTCCCATCGGCAACTTCACATGCCTCCCCGATTGACTCTGGAGGTGAGAAGTCTCACCTCATTGAATCCATTGACAACCTCTTGACGACCTGCTTTCTTCCCTGGGCTTCGGCACGGCTAGCGCTGTCGTCCAACCCCTCGGATGAATCTCGATTCCGCGCCGTCCGCCGTAGCCGGCAGCGAATACGATTTGCTGGACGTCATTCGCATCTGCAATTCCAAAGCCTCGCAGCCGCCCGAGGCGATCAATTCAATCTTGAATTGAAATTATACAAGATTTTCAATTGGTTTTGTCTTCCCGACTTGCCGCAAGGCGGGCTGAGCCTGGCTTCAAACGCGATGGTCTGATGAGAACCAGACGACTATCGAGGCTAAACCTCTTTGGCAAGCTTCTTGAGAGCCTTCGATGCGAGATCTGCTGGCATCAACGCAGTCACTTGCGAAGTCCGAGGCGTATCTCCGTTGGGAAGCTCAATCATTCACTGCAGCACTGACTCTGCGGACATGGACCTCCATGTCAAACAGCAACATGTTCCAGACCAATCAACAACTCCACCTCGTTTCGGACGACCAGTGGAAGCTCTTATCTCGCTTGCTGCTTGGTCTCGTTGTCTGATATTCCATCTTCAATATGGTTCTCAGAAACATGTCTCCTGGCCTTGCATTATGCGGCTCCAATTCAGCCAAGCAGACACAGCCTTTCGTCTGAATGGTGCGACGTGTCCCGTTCCCGTCCTTTCAGCCTCCCGGAGCTGGAGCGTCATACCGTCATAAGCTGTCGGAGCGCATACTGGTGGCGACCGCATCCGTTTCGTCCCGTCTCGGGCCTTGGGCGGGAGGACGATGGGAAAGCAGGGAACGCGCAGCCGCCTTTGCCGTGAGTGTGTGTGTGGTATGGATGGTGCTTCTCGCGGTCTGTTGAGAGCTGTGCTCGCCGTGCCGGAGTAATCGGTTCATCCGTCAGTTCAGTCTTTTGCCAAGGCAGTTGACGGATGCCTTCTCAACTATCCACCACACAACCATCACGAAAAAGCACAGCTGCAAGCTTCCGAAAGTGAGGCGGGTTTTGCACTAGGCGCGATTGCCGCTATTGTCGTTGTCGAGAGCTTCCTTTGAAAAAAGTTATATATGCCAACAGGTACCCCGGCGGTCTTAATGTCTGATCGTTTTCACGTCACTCCTTCAGAAGCTCTTTTCGATAGCCGTTGCCGTCCAAAATGTGGTTCAGCGTTGGAATCGCTCTTCTCGTCGGCCAAGCCTTGGCCACGCCTCACTCTCTTCAAACAAGACAGGGCAACGACTGCCCGCCCATTCACATCTTTGGAGCGCGGGAGACGACTGCGCCCCCGGGGTTCGGGGCAGCAGCCAAGATTGTCGACGATCTCACAAAAGCCAATCAGGGAGCCACGAATGAGGCCATCAACTACCCTGCTTGCGGCGGTGGTACGGACTGCTTGGGTGTGAGCTACGCCGACTCGGTCAAGAACGGCACAGACTCTGTAGCCACGGCTATCAATGATTTCAACAAGCGGTGTCCCCAAACGAAGATTGTCATGCTGGGGTTCTCGCAGGTGAGTCATCTGTCCGCGCGTACAGCACAAAAGCTAACGAAAACCAGGGTGCTCAAATCATGGACAACGCATACTGCGGCGGCGGTGACAGCATCGAAGGAGTCAAAAACACCAACGTGCTCATCTCGCAGCAAGCGTTGGGGGCAGTCAAGGTTGCCATCTTCATGGGAGACCCGCGATACGTTGCCGGGCTGCCCTATGAAGTGGGCACCTGCCAAACGAAGGGAGTAAGTGGCTCGGGTCTGTCAAGCACTTCACCGACTAACAGGATCAGTTCGCTCCCCGACCCCAGGGCTTCCAATGCCCGTTTGGGAATAACATCAAGTCCTTCTGCGACTCGGCAGACCCCTTTTGCTGCAACGGCAACGACCCAGTAGCACACCTGCAGTATCCAAACATCTACGGCGACCAGATCAAGCAGTTTGTCAGCGATAAACTAAAGTAGACAGAGATACGAGACCATCGCGAGCAAAGTCTGCGACTGCTCGCGCTCGCACTCGGACACGTGCGGATATGACAGAACACCCTCAAAATTCTCGGCCGCGCGTTCCTGGATATAATAGATGCCCGGGAGGGTGGGGAGGGCATTGTGCTTTTCGAGTTGCTTTTGCCGAGCTCCAACTCCTACAACCGAGTTCGGCCAGACCGCAAAGTAAATATCCCGACGTCTCTTAATAGAGGGTGCCATAGACGGCGCTCAGACCGACCGAGGGTTGGGTTGAAGAACCTAAGCATAGACGTAATTAATCGAGAATCCGTATTTAGAGACGTTGTCGGTTTCGCATGACCGAGTTTGGTGTGTGCTGCAGCTCTCCGGGAATCTCCAGTCGATCGCAAAGTCAATTGGATGTGTAAGCTTAAAGCTTCGTGACTCGATGAAGTTCTCGGTGTTGATGGTCTTCATAACCGTGTGGATAGAGGCATGTAAGAGTGGCTGAGCATTGTCGTCCGTGATCTTGGGTTGTGGCTGCTGTCTGACTAAGCGGGATAGACCCACCCATCAATCGTCTGTCCAATTAGCTTCACATCTAGCTTGAGCTGTCCGACGCGTTCACGATCCAGCTACCGCGTCTCGAACGACAACCCCGCAATCGGAATGCTCTGACGATCCCAACTGCTACTGTCATGCACCTAGCCGACAAAGTGACACAATGGCAAGAGCACGAACTGCCAAACCCGATGACGCAAGCACCGCCCCCGCCCAGGTGACAAGCCCCGACGCCGGAGCGCGTCGCAGTAGGCGATTGAGGCAGGACGACGTCGAGATGGGCGAACTACCGAAACCTAAGAGACCGAGGAAGAGCCAAGAGAATGTCGAGCAGGAGCCCGAAGACCAGTATGAGGCGGGGGGCGAAGATGTTGCCACAAGAGTATGCCAAATCATGTCCAGAGGTGCGATCGCCGCTCACATGCCCTGCAGGAAAACAAGTCCACTCGAAGACGTCCTGGCTCGAATCTGAGGGTACACACCCTTCGAAAAGTCGCAGAGGATACGCATCGTAGGACGCAGCGTGCCTCTGAGGCGAACCAGACCACGAAACGGGTGTCGAGGAGGTCGTTTGCGTTGGAGAAGCGGCGTGTTCCACCGCGGCAAGAAGAGAGCCCCGAACCAGAGCTTCAGCACCAAGAAGACATTTACGATGTGCCCGTGAGTCCGCCACGAGGCAGCCAGCCGAGGCCCCGCGCGTCTCAAGACGAGTCTGAAGAAACGGGATCGAACCCTGAGGACGAGCTCTTTGTGCCGCAGGAAGAGGCCAGTGATGCGGATCTGTACGAGGAGCCGACGGGAGTGGGAAACGGAAACGACGAGGAGATTTCAGAAGAGACGCCCGAAGAAGCTGAAGAACAACCTTCCCCGTCTATCCAGAAACTCAGAGATATCGTCGTTGACATGGGTCCGGCTGCGCCCGACGCTGAACCCACCGACTTCACATACCCCGACGACCACTATATTTTCGCGATGCCTACGGGCGACGAGAAGACGGCATCAGCACCTTTCAAAACTCACACCCTCAAGTACATGACTGAGCTGATGAGCGGGTCTGGTTGGGCTAGAGGAATCAATCCACACGTCGCAGGGTCTCTGCCCAAGTCGAAAGTGAGCCGCGAGTTCTGGGATGATTTTGTTTTCTTGAAGAGCTTCTGGTCTGGCATGCCACGGGCACCCTACTTTGACGAACAGTGCGACTATTTGCACAACGACGATTTGGCGTCTCGGGCCAAAAAGGCCATCAAGAGGATTGACAGCTTCGTCACCGTGACCGTCGAGCGGGCCAAGAAGACATCCAATGGGTTTGAAGAGCTCATGCCCCCAAAGCCACTCACGAAAGACCTATACGAAAAGATTATACCCATGCTTATAGCAACTCTCAACAGCGTCTTCCAGAGAGGCGTGGCCGGCAAGCAGCAATGGCTTGGGACTTTTACGAAGTCGACTCTCCAGATTATGCAGAGACTGCTAGCATGGATTCATCGGCTGTACGTGACCATGATGGATAGTCTCGCAAAGAGGCCGCGAGACCAGACCGGGACGCAGAGAAAGAGCCGAGAAAAACTCTCTAGACACCTGGCAGACCTCAAGGTGGAATTCAAGAACCTGGACGCAGAGCTGACGGCGGCCCCCTGGCGCAAGCGAGCTCACGACGAGAGAGTACGGCGAGCCTTGGAGGCCCAAGAGCGACAGCGTGTTCAAGAGGAGGAGAGGAGACGTTGGCAGCGAGAACTGGTTGACCGGCAAATTGCTGAACGATTCGCACATCGCGCAACTGCCGCACAGCAGACTCAAGCAGCGCAGCAGACTTCGACGGCACGGCAAAATCAGGGGCTGCAACCGGCAGCAACATCACAAGGCACATCGCAGCAGGACGGTACTAACGACTCCTGGTCGCTCGAAGCTGACAAGCACCTGCTCAAAATACTGCTCAACAACCCAAAGGTTCAGCCACAGTTCCTGGCGTGGGAGTTGGACCGCAGCATCGACGATGTGAGAGACAGAGTGGAGGTGCTGAAGCAAGCCGCCAGGACAAACGCTGCCAACAAGGGCACGCCGCTGCCAGCGTTCGCGGCCACCTGAGGCGTTCAATGATTACGATATTAGCTTAGAAGCGTGTGGTTTAAATGATACCCAGTCTGCGCCATGCGCGCAATTATCGAATCCGCAGTACAAACACTTGATTCATTCTGCCGGCCCGGAAATGTCAAACACAGTCATCTCTGCGCACAGGGTTTCGCTCGCTCGCCGGCGGCGATGACTCGGCGTTGGTGTTTCGACGCCCATTGTCATCAAACTGTGACTCCCTGCGGTTGCAGCGACGGTCCAACATGAATCATGCTTTAGGCTAACACGATTACAAACCCACCGCGACGGGCGGCGGCAGAAGAAGAGAAGAGCTGTAAAACGGCCGCCGTCGATGGCATCAGGATGATGGTCCAAGTCGACGGCGCCGCGATCTTCGCACGCTACATCAGCACGGAAACGGCAGGCGTGTAGCACCTCCCACGTGGCCCTCCGATCGATCCCACCTGTTCGTGTCATAGGGGTGGTACGGTCGGGCGGCGGCAGTAAACGGACGGAGGCGCGCAACACGGCAAAGGGCAGAAGCAACACGAACAAGGCCAGGGGGCGCACCGAGACCCTTCCAGAGTTGGGGAGGAGGGGGGCGCACACGCCCTGGGCGGCCGCCATTTTCGCATCTGCCGAAGATTTTGGCTCAGCGACTGATACGCCACGTAGGTGACACTGGCACACTGCGGGCTTGTTGGTTTTGGGAGGTGCGCTGGTTTGCTGGCCGTGGGGCTTCGGCAGATGAGAATGAGTGCTGTTTGGGTGAGAGGCATGAGGGTTGGTCCCTGGAGGTCGGCCTCATGGGTTTACGGGCTACGTTATGGGACGAAAAGGCGAGATGGAACGGATCAGAGGAATGGACGAGGAATCTTGGATCGCGAGTGCGAGCGAAGGAAGCTTTGGTGCTGCTCGTGGGCGCTCGGGAAGCCTGAAGGGGCTTGGCTTGAGCTGCGAGCCGCATCTGCTTATGCGTTTACGCTGATCTTGTTTCCGAAACTTCGATGAGGACAATGGCAGCGCCAGTCCGTCGTTTCTCCGGCGGTATCGCATCACATAAGCACATAAGAGACCGGCGGCCTTGTTAATGAACACATGGTAGCAGTAGGGGCGGCGCACAAGCGGGCAGTCTTCGGATACTGCACTGGATCTTGGGTCGACACGTGCTGGGGAAGGGTTAAGGACCACCGGGCGGTCTCTTCTGGGCTGGTCGGGCAATTTGGGGGACGGAATCAATTGCCGATGAAACTGGACCGTCGAGGTGGTGGTGTGTTCTGGCCAAAGGACTAGTAGGCGTTTAACATGCCTCAAGCGGCGAATCTAGCATCGCCTTCGTGCCGCCTGGGAAGTCTGGGACCGGCGGCAACGTTCTGATTTGCCGCGGTAGGCTTTCTCCTGCTGGGCTGGGCTTACCACCGCCGCGCTGAAGTCGAACGCTGGAAGTCAGAGACGCTCAAAGCTTGAAAAGCGAAAAGCAAGACGGGCGTCAGTGGGAGACGTCAAACGTGCTGCGCTGCAACCCACCACCAACCCGTCCCCTCGGCTAGGCTTTGGAGGGATGCAGGTGCGGGGAACCCTTGAGTTGTCAAAACTGGGAGACGTCCGGGGCGGGTATGCGGTGCGGAGGATTCGGGCGGCGGAGACGCAGGACGGCCGAGAGCGATGGCATTGGACAGGCGACACAGAGCTGAAGGCCGAGATGGGCGATGGACGAATGGCAGAAGTGCCGCGGCAAGCTGTGCAGACTGAGGCTCTACTGTGCATCAGGGAGTGTTGCATTCGACCGTCAGTCAGTCTTCGGTCAGCCGTCGGCGCGCGTCTTATTCGGGGCCGAAAACGGTTTGTGGAAGCAGAGTCGCTTGAGACGAGACCTGATTGGCGTCTTGGGAGATGTTGGAGAGGCAGACAGAGAGAGAGAGGCTGGGGTGGAATGCATGGAGCTTGTCTTGGAATGTGTGGAGTTTCCAAGTGGGCAAATTTGGCGGACCCATTGGGTGTCTTGAACCTTCGGGCCAGAGAGTCGGCAGTGAGAATCGGATCGAATTACATTTCCAGTGTCTCTGAGCCCTCGAATGTCTTTGAGTCTCGCGGCGAGGCGGCGAAGACAGCGAGACAAAGGGCAGCAGCGTCAGATCTCACCACAGCGAGATGAATTCAAATGCCAACAAAGAGCCTCGTTCCCGGAGAAGGTTCCGAGAGACCGCTCAAACAATCGGATTCAGAGACAATAGAGACAGCCGGACACACAACGAGGGCAGCCAAAACACACTGCAAAGAGTGAACTGAACCACACTGCTGCTCGTTTTCAACTGCCGTGCCCCCACCAGATGCCATGACCAAGTCATGCCTGTTTCCAGCAGCCGCCGACCCCCTCCCCCGCAGATAAGGTGCTCCAACGGTGGGTCGTCGGCCCTGTATTATTTGCGCAGAGGACGGCACGGCAAGGCAATTGACCGCTGGCAGCGTCAGCAGGATTGCGCTGTGGTTTGGAAGGCTTGTCGTGAGTTTGATGCTGAGGTGGGAGAAGGGAAGAGGCGGCTCCATTGTCCCCTTGTGTCAAAGCCGACCTGGACAGTCAGTCACCTGGCCCTGTCTGCCACCAACAGAGTCTCGGAGATGCCGGCCGACCAGCGAGCGATGGATCTCTCAAGTCCGCAATGAATCGACCGCATGGCAGCCATGCCATGGCCACGGCCAGCACGCACCCTCTTTTCCGGGCCACCTCGTCCGCTCTTGGGACGAAAGACTGCGAAATGCATCTGCCGAAAGTCGACGACCTGGACGACACCCAGAAGAGTGTCACCAGTGTCCACCGACCAAGACCAGACCCCCTCCATCAGATCATCCATCGTATTGCAAGCTGCGCTATTGTCGCAATCCCGCGCGCGTCTCGTGCCAATCGCAGTCCCAATACGCAACGCGAGAGGGCAATCAATCCCATCGGCAGGCAAGCGGGCAACCCCTCATTCGTAGCTGTCTCAACCATGACAGCATCAGCATCGACGACAAGGACCCCGATCTGCCGTCTGCTGTGAACCGATACGCTCGCTGCATGTCTCGAGGCACACACACACAAGGACACACACACCACATCACCAGAGGCACAATACCCCCGGCTCGGTCCCCTCGGCAGCGGAAACTCCCCCTCCTCAGTGACGGGCTTGCGGGCCCATCGACCGGGGGGCCCCTCCCTACCCCAGGATCTGTTGCCCTTGGCTGGACCTCCCCCCGGCGTCATTCTGCGAGCTTCTGAGTGGCCGCCATCCGCCGCTGTACCTGAGGACGACCGACCTGCGGTGCGGTGCCTAGCCCGTGTCGCCTCCCTCTGGGCCCTAAATGCTAGGGTGCGCTGACGCCGCTGGCTTTGGAGGCTTGCTGCGTAAGGTGTGGCATTCGATTTGCTGATTTGCGCCGTGGTGACGTGGGGTGCCTTTCGAGCGGCGATTCCACCGACTCTTCCACGCTACCGACCGCCGCACCTAGTCTGCGGCCACAAACACTCGGACGGGTCCTTTTTTTGAGGTCAGCGTCTCTCTGGGAGAGCTCTCTTACCTCCGGAGCCTCTAAGTCTAGCATTTTCCCAAATCAAGTCTGCTTGGAACGACGGCGACGGCACGACGACCGGCCTAACGAGTAGTCAAAATCCACATCTGGGCCCCTCGCGTGCTCCGGACGGTTTGCAATGTCCTAGTCCAGGTCATCCCGAGCCTGAATTTGCCGCTGTTGATCGGTTTTTGCGAGATTTGCAAACCCGATCTCGCGTGGTGGTGGCTCTAGGTCGGCACGGCGTCTACAACCGCCGCTCCTTCTAGTACTCGGTACACTCAGTCACTCACTTCATCCCTCCTCCAAACCCACATCGACGTCCACATCCATATCCGCCAGTCCCCGTTTTCCCCCAACCCAGGATCCCAGAAACCCAAGAACCCTTGCGAATTCTAACTCTATTTCGCCCGCCCTCTTGTCTCATCTCGTACGAGACAAACGCCGACGCCAGCGCTGCGTGTCCTGGTCCCCGAGAAAAGCCAGCGGACCGTCGTCTGAGAGGGTTACCCTTTCTGTCCTCACTTTCAACGGCGTGGGAATCCTCTGATCTTGGCTATCTTGGCTACCCCGGAACCCGCACGCTGCATTACTTGCCGTGCCTGTCGCCGGATACTCACCAGAGTCACCGCAAACTTTGGCGCATCTGCCATCTCGAGTGACGCTCGCTTGCTCCACCGCCGAGGCACAGGTGCAGCTGCACGTTGACCACACGGCATGCCCCCTCGCATACCTCCCAGCCCCATAGGATCCGGTCGATGCGTCCCAAGATAGAAACTGGATAAATTACTCTCGGTACCTGGCCCGGGTAATCGTCTGGTCGCCGGCTACATCAACCCCATAACCGCCCCGTTGGTATTGCCCGGTCTGGCGCACTCGACTCTTGCAACTCTTAGTCAACCTCAATACGACTTGGCAAACATGCACGGCATCACAGAGACGTTACTAGAAACCCTAGCCACACACTGGCTGTCAATAGGTGCATCACTTATTGTGGCCTGGCTGGTTAAGAATCATTACAACAACGGACTCAACAAGTATCCCGGGCCTTTCCTGGCGTCGTTGACGGATTGGTGGCGCTTCTTCGACGTCAAGGGACAACGCCCAGAGGTAACACATCAAAAACTACACGAAAAATATGGCAACGTTGTTCGGCTGGGTCCCAATACGCTGTCGTTCGCCGACCCCGCTGCCCTGAAGACCATCTACGGGCTGAACAAGGGATTCGTCAAGGTAGGCTCTCTCTATGCCGTCATGCTACGCAGCTAACAATGTCAGTCTGATTTCTACATTGTGCAGCAGTCCGTGGTCAAGGGCCACAGCCTGCAGTCGCTGTTCAGCACAACAGACAACAGCTTCCACTCACAGTTCCGCCGATGTGTCAACTCGGCCTTTTCCATGTCGGCCCTGGTTCAGTATGAGCCGTTTGTCGACAACACGACCAAGCTGTTTCTATCACAGACGGAGAAGCTATTTGCTGGAAACCCTGAGGGGTGTGACTTTACGACGTGGCTTCAGTTTTACGCGTTTGACGTTATTGGAGAGATCACCTACAGCAAACGCCATGGATTCATCGAGAAGAACGAGGACATTGACGGAATCGTGGCGTACCTGAGCAAGCTGTTCCTCTACGTCGCGCCGGTGAGTCTAACCTCAGCACGTCGCAGAATCTTACTGACGTGAGCAGATTGGCCAAATCCCCCTGCTCGACCGCCTCTTCCTCAAAAACCCCATCTACCTCAAGCTGTCCCAATGGGGCTTCATCGACTCGACGTTCCCCGTTGCCCGCTTCGCTCGTGCCCGCATGGCCGAGCGTCTCCCCGAGCTCAACGGCAAGGAGCCCCTGCTGCCCGTCACGAACGGCAAGAAGCTGGCCGAGCAGCCCGACCTCCTGTCCAAGTTCCTGGCCGCCCGTGAGGCCCGCCCCGATTTCATGTCAGATGTGCTCGTGCAGACGATGGCCGTCAGCATGGCGTTTGCCGGTTCCGAGACCACCGCCATCAGTCTGGCGGCCGTCTTCTACTACCTGCTACGCACCCCGACTGCGCTGGCGCGGTTGAAGGAGGAGCTGGACCAGTTTGGCCGCGAGGGCGGCTTCAGCGACACTGAGACGGGGCTGGTCACTTGGACCGAGAGCCAGAAGCTGGTCTACCTCGACGCCTGCATCAAGGAGGCCTTCCGCATGCACCCGGCTGCCGGTCTTCCCCTGGAGCGTATCGTCCCCGAGCAGGGCGCCGAGATTGCGGGAACCTTTGTCAAGGGCGGAACGATTGTGGGCTGCAGTGCGTGGATCATCCACCGCCGACCCGAGATCTGGGGCGCAGACGTCGACACCTACCGGCCCGAGCGGTGGTTGGTGGATGAGACAAAGGACCGCGAGGCGGAAGAGCAGCGCATCAAGGAGATGAACGGCCACATGTTCCAGTTTGGCATGGGCAGCCGCACGTGCATCGGAAAGAACATTAGCTTGTTGGAAATCTACAAGGTGGTGCCGAGTTTGTTGAGGAGGTTCGACGTAAGTAATCTGTCACCTTCTGCAGACCCTCGCTAACAGTTCGTAGATTAAGTTTAAGGACCCCAACCAGGAGTGGCAGCTCATCAACGCGTGGTTTGTTAAGCAAGTCAACTTTTACACCATGTTTACGCCTAGGGATATCGTCAAGCCGGAGGTGAACGAAAAGAGTTCATAAAAGACGATGAGTGATGAGATGATGACCATAGAAGTATCAAATCAATCTGCACACATATATATATCTATACACGCAATTTCAACAGGCTCCATTGATGCTGAATCTACGCCATCTACACAACCAATTTCAAATAGGCCCCTGGTATAATATGCAACCCGCCGTTCTACAGGATATCTTTCGGCAACAGGATAAAAGCAACTCGGAATGCTCAACTCAAGCCCACTCAAACTCATTCTTCAACCCCTCAGCACCGCTCTTGTCGTCGGCATCGAGGTACCCGCAGATCCTGCCCTCGGGATCCCACTCCTTGCGGATCTGCATCAGCTTCTTGCCCTGCTCGTCGCCCCAGAACTTGGTCCGGCGGTGGCGGAAGTCGGCATCGCCAAGGTAGCTGCCCACGGACTTCTTCTCGACGTCCTTCATCACGTCCTGGACCCAGCCGTGGCACCTCTCGTCGTCCTCGGCGTCCGGGTAGATGGTGTACAGCGCAAAGTAGTGGTCGCTCTGCATGCTCAGCGCCATGTCGGGCATCGTCTTGGCCTTCTCGTCGACGTCCCCGTTGGCCGCCGCCGAACCCAGCTGCACGCGGCGGGAGCAGGGGTTCATGGCGAAGTACAGCGCAAACGACTGCGGCGTCGGCAGCGTCGTGAACGCTTTCTTGAGCACCTTGGGCACGTCCGCGTCGTTGGACACGTACGAGTTCTCTGAGATGTACCGGTGCGCGGGCGGGTTGCTGGCGTCCTGGTCGACGTACTGCTGCGGGAGGGACGTCGGGTTCGCAAAGACGGTCTGCAGCGGCCGCGAGGGGTGGGACGAGTGCAGCGGGATGAGGTCCTCGGGGTCCGGCTTGAAGGACAGGAAGTTGGCCATCACCTGCGGGGCATCTGCCCCAGGCGGCGTAAGCGTCAGCAGGACGATCTCCGTCGACGGCGGCGCGGTAGGGCAGATCTGGGACGGTCAGTTTTTGGTCTTCCATACGCAGCAGGGTGGCATACCTTGATGACCCAGTTGAGGATCTCCTCAAAGCGGTCGAGCGAGTAAAAGTACAGCGACTGGTACATGCCCGACAGAGGCCGCGTCCGGAGGTGGAAGCGGACGACGACGGCCGGGAAGCCGGGGCCCGAACCGCGCGCCGCCCAAAAGAGGTCTGGGTTCTCCGTCTCCGAGCACCGGAGCTCGTTGCCGTCGGCCGTGACGACGTCAATGGCGACAATGTTCTCGCAAGCCCAACCCCAGTTCTGCAGCCCGTCAGCTTGAAGTCTCAGAGGGGAAGCAAACGGCTTACCTTGCAGTTCCACCCCATACCGCCCTGCAACAAGAAACCGCCGAGCCCAACGTCGGGGCAGTGTCCTCCGGGAAAGAATCTGCCGACGCCCTCCTCGCTGTCGTCCCCGGGCCCGCCAAGCTGTCCGGCCAGGAACCCGTTCACCTCTCTCCCGGTCCGCGCCGGCGCACAGCTCACGACGCCGGTGCTCTTATCATACACGAGCCCGTCCTCGCCGCCCTCGTCCTTGCCGAACCCTCCGAGGTCAATCAGCAGCGCCTCGTCTCTCACGCTCCACGCGGCCCAGCTGTGGCCTCCGCTGCGCACACTCACCCGCCAGCCCTTCTCCTTGGCCAGTTTAACGGCCTCGACGACGTGCGCCCGGTGCGTGGCCTGGACGACGGCAACGGGCCGCCGGTGGAAGTCCCGCATGGCGTTGAACACGCGTCCCCAGACGGCGGCCGAGTACTCCGAAAACGGCGTGTCTTCGGCGAAGAGGATCGGCAGAGGCGGCGCGGGCATCTTTGCGGCGGCGAGTAGTTGTTCCCTGCGTGCGGCGGGTATGCGGTTTCCAAGTCTGGACATCTTTTCTTCAGCACTGCGTGCGATCCGCGGAGCTTTAAGACAATGCAAATCTCCTCCAACCCCGGGATCTGGATCGGGGCTGAAATCGACGAGGGGTTGCGGGCGATGCCTCGTGGCAGTAAAGAAAGAAGAAGGAATATACCGTAAATAAGGCTGCAGTCCGCTGAACCCAAGAGTACGGCTCGTGGAGGCTCAACAAAGGCGGGACAAAAGAGCAGCTCGTCCAGCTAGACCAGTCCAGAACCTGGGTCTTGTACGAATGCGTAAACGGGGATCTCAGCTGCAATCTTCTCGAACAGCAAAAGGTCAGCTCCCTGGGTTTTCCCTTCTTTTTAAAAAGGGTCGCGGTTGGGATGCAAGCTAATCAACTGCTACGGAGCGTACCTCTAGACAAATCGGAGGAGCTCAGCTCAAATCTCCCGCGGGGCAAGCTTAAGCCAAATAAGCTCTCGTCCTCCGAGGCAGACAAGGTAGAAGACGAGAAAAATCGTACCACAATCCCCTCGGTAGATGCGTCTGCAAGAGGTCAAAGAGTTGGTTTTTTTATCGATAAACAAGTGCAACAAGGATCAGATCAATTGGACTCCCGCGGAACGCAGCGGATGGCAAGCCCAGTTAAATGGGTTTCATCGCGCCAGCAGACGAAGTCACCCTCTCCGGCGTAGTCATCCTCCACTCCCGCTCACTTCAGTTCTCTTCTCCAACGAGGCAGCGGGACCGCCTTTCGCCATCCCCCACCCATCCGCCTCCATTGGACGTCAATGGCTCATTGGCTCCGTGTCACCGAACGACTCGTGCTTCTGCAGCAATTGCAGCAATTGCAGCAAGAGGAGGAGACGATTTCCCCGCCCTTCGATCAAGAATCGTTTCGTTTCACGGGATGCGGGAGGGGTCTTGGCTCAGGAACACGCACATACGGATGGATACTCGTCAACTGCTAGCGGGTGCAAGGGTCGCACACCCCGGACCGGCCGCTTACGAAGCCTGGCCGTGGCGCACATCGTGGCCGCACCCGCTTTACCACGCCGGGTTTGGCACTGCCACCTCGTGGCTTCTGGACTCGCGTTGTCGAACACGCATCAAATCAATTCACTCTCAAAATCAGTTCATCTGGACCGGCCTCGACCCGCATCTGCAGCGAGAGGAAAAGGGGGTATCGTCCATTGCTACCTCGTCCCATCACACGCGTTCCTCCATAATTACATCGCGTCCGACGCAACGCATACAGCACTCAACAGCTCTGTCTCTCTCTCTCTATCCATCTCCTGCAAAGGATCAATTTGGTACCAGTACGCAAAACAAGCACCCTCTTCGATGCCAGACCGGCCCCGTGCCGGAATGCATAACCCCCGCGCTGTATTAAAACGAAAACCTCAAAACCCGGCCGGGCGGGACAAGGAGAAACGGGCCAAGGGCCCTGGCTTGCTGTACAAGTCAGGCGGCGAGCCTGCTAGCCACTGAACATGCGCGTGCCTCTACCGATTGCTCAGTTGTCGGCCCGCGGCGACTGCTGAAAGTCCGTGATGGATTCGAGCATGGCCAGGTTCTTCTCCTGCATGTCGCGGTCCATTGCGTGGATCTGGTTGGCGTTGACTCTAGCTCGTTGCAACTGCGGACTGTTAGCGACTGCATCACCAGCGTAGACGGGGAGCATCAAGCAGGGGGCGATCCCACCACAGCAAGTGCCTCGGAGGAATGGTCTTCTTCCTCACCTTCGGGCTGGTTCGCGCCGTTCGCCTCGTCGTCCCCGTCGGCGTACCTGCTGGCCGCGAGTCCCTTGGGCTTCGCGACGGCCGCGTTGGCCTGTGATTGTTAGTGAAGAAATGAGTAGACATGAGTGATGAACGCACCTTGGCCTCCGCAATCTCGGCGTCCTTCACCTTGAGCTGCGCCTGCAGCTCCTCGACGCCCTTCTCCTTGTCCGTCAGCGTCTTCTTCAGACCGTCAATCTGCTCCTCCAGGGCCCGGCGCTTAGCCTGCTCCTCCTCCACAATCTTGGTCATCGTGTCGTTGAGCTCCTCGTAGTCGGCCTTGTACGTCTTAAGCTGCTTGTCGGCCTCGAGCTTGGAGGCTTCGAGCTCCTTCTCGGCGAGGATGAGGTCCTCCTTGACGTCCGCAACCTCCTGCTTGGCCGCGGCCAGGCTGGTCTGGACGACGTGGAGCTCGTCCTCGAGACCCTTCTTGACGTTGGCGAGCTGCTCGCGGAGCTGGTCCCGCTCGGTGGTGTCCGGGGGCGTCGGCGACTTGTTCTTGACCGCGTCCAGGGCTGCCTCGGCCTCAGCGCGAGCCATCTTCTCTTGCGCAAACATCTGACCGAGCTCACCGTTCTCTTGCTCGACCTGGGCCTTCTCAGCCTCGGCCTTGGCGACGGACTCCTTGGCCGCCTTGAGGGCAGCCTCGAGCTCGGACGCCTGCGCCTTCTGCTTGGCAATCTCCTCGGCGAGAGCCTCGCTGTTGTTCTCGTACTGGTTCGTCAGCTCAGCAACAACCTTGGCATGGGCCTGCTTCAGCTCCTCGAGCTCCATCTGCGCGCCAGAGGCGGACTGCTGCTTCAGCGCGTCGAGCTGCTCGGCGTGCATCGTGATCAGCTTCTCGACCTCGGCGGAGTGCGTGTCGTCGAGGTTTCGCTTGGCCTCGGCGAGGGCGGCCGCGCTCGACGTCTCGGTCTCCCTGATTCTCGTCAGAGCCTCCTCAAGCTGGAGCTTCAGCGTAGACAGCTCCTCGGACTGCGCGCTGCCGGCCTGCTTGGCAGAGGCCAGCTCGGCCTGGTGAGCGGCGAGCAGCTTCTCCCTGGCGTCGGCGAGTTCGGCCTGGTGGGCGGCGATGATCTTCTCGCGGGCCTCGGCAAGCTCGGCCTCGTGGGCGGCGCGCAGCTTCTCGGTGGTGGACGCGAGCTCTTCCTTGTGCGCAGCAATCAGCTTCTCCTTGTCACCAGCGCTCTCAGTCAGGGCAAGGGCCTTCTCCTTCTCGCTGGCAATCTCGGCCAGCAGCTTCTCCTTCTCGCCACTGGTCTCGGCCTTGAGCGCCTCGACAATGTCAGCGTGCGACGCCTTGAGCGCCTCAATCTCCTTGGCCAGGCTGGACTCGCTGTCGCTCTTGAGAATCTCGAGCTGCTTCGCGTGGCTGTCCTTCAGGCTCTGGAGCTCGGCGAGCTGCGCGTCCTTGTCGGCGGAAGCGCCGCTCTTAGCGCCCTCGAGCTCCTCGGCGTGGCTGGCGCGGAGGGCATCCAGGGCCTTTTGGTGCTCGGCCTCCCGCGCCTCCAGAGCGGCAACGGCGGCGGCGAGCTCGGCCTTAGCCGCCTCGAGGGCCTGGGTGTGGCTCTCGCTGCTGTCGGCCTGGGCCTTGGTGAGGTCGCCGTGTTGGGTGGTGAGCTCGGTGTGCTTCGACTCGAGGTCGCCGTGCTTTGTGGCCAGCTCAGTGTGCTGAGCCTCGAGCTCGTTGTGCTTGGTCTCAAGATCCAGGAACTTGCGCTTGAAGAAGGCGTCGCCCTTGAGCGATTCAATCTCCTCCTCGTAGTCGGCAGAGACCTGCTTGAGCGCCTCGTCGTGCTTCTGGACGTGGGCAGCGTGCTCCGCCTTGGCCTGCTCGAGGGCCTCGTCCTTGGCGGCAATCTCCTCCTTGATGCTGTCAATCTGCTTCTTGAACTCGAGAGCCTCCTCCTGGGCCGTTGCGAGGTCGGCCTGGGCGACGGCAAGCTTGGACTCGACCTCGGCGACGAGGGCCTGCGCGGCGGCCAGCTCAGCAATCTTGGCATCCAGGTCGGCCTTGGCCTGCTCAGCGGTCTGCTCGGCAGCCTCGAGCTTGCTCTTGAGCTCGGCAACCTCGGCCTCGACGGCGGCGAGCTTCGTCTTGTGGGCCTCGAGCTCGGCGCTGACCTTGGTCTCGTGTGCGACCTCGAGGTCGTTCTGGGAAGACGTGAGGTCGTCAATCTTCTTCTGCAGCTCGGCGATGGCGCTCTCGTGGCTCGACTTCATGTTGGCGAGGGCCTCCTCGTGGCCGGCGGAGTCAGACTTGCCCTGGTCGAGCTGCTCGGCGTGCTTGGCTTCGAGGGCCTCGATGGCGGCCTTGTGCTGGTCGGTCAGGGAGCTCTGCAGCTCCTCGAGCTTGCTGGCGTGCTCCTCCATGGCCTTGTTGAGGTCGGACTCGCTCTGCTTCAGCTTCTCCTCGTGCTCGGCCTGGAGAGTCTCGAGGGACTGCTTCAACGAGGCGAGCTCAGTCTCGGCGGCTTCCTTGGCGGCAATCGCCTCCTTGTACTCGCTTTGCTGTTTCTCCAAGTCAGCATCCGTAGCGACAAGATGTTCGTTGGCGTCATCAACCTGGGTCTCGAGCTCGGCCTGCTTAGCTTGCAACTCCGCCACCTGGTCCTGGTGGGCCTTTTGAATGTCATTCACGGCACTCTGCACCTGGGCGGCCTCCTGGGACGTGGCCTCGCCCATCTGGGCCATCCGCGACTGCGACTGCTCTACCTGCGCCTTGAGCTCGGTGAGCTGGGTCTCATTTTCGGCCAGCTGCGACTCCTTGTCGGTGAGCTGCGCCTTGAGCTGCTCAATCTCCTTGGTCAAGGCCTCGGACGCGCCGGACGAGTCGGGTCGAATCGACGGTCGCGAGGTTCGCGTGGCAGAGGAGGTTGTGCCGGCAGCGGTCGAGAGGCGCTTCTTGGCCTCGGCGACGGCGCCGGTGCCGGTGGCGGCGGATCGGGAGGTTGTCGAAGAGGGGCGCGGGGCGGAGCTGATGGACTGTCGCGAAGCCGTCGAGGTCCTCGGGGCGGACGAGCTGCTCACGGAGCTGGCGGGTTTTCTGGCGGCAGCAGTGGCGGCGCCGGTGGTCGTGGTCGACGTCCTCTTCTCCTTGCTCGGCGAGCCGGCGCTGCTGGGGACGGCCGAGGTGCGGCGGACCGTCCTCTTGGTCTCGTCCTCAGAGGCAGACACGCTGGGCCG